TTTAAAAGTTGTGTATTTCACGGGAGGAAAATAATTGTGTTTGATTCAGAGGGACACCATTTGGATTTGTTAGCCGTAGATCTTTTAAGAAGAAAGAAAACTTATTTGAGGATTGTTACAGACAATAAATAAGTGTTGACAGATGTGTAAACAGTCAAAAAGCGGCTAGGAAATTGAAAAACATGGAATCTTTAAAAGGCTGCCTTACGAACGCTGTTTTTTTACTTATTCTTCAGACTGATGTCTGTCTTTGCTTGTCAAGTTATTAGGCAGTTATTGCGGGAAGGATACTCGTCATCAAGAGCAGTTTTGAATGTGGAAGGAACCGTATTTTTCAGTCTGTAAACATGAAACAAAAATATAGCGACGATATTTGGTGATTGGTTATTTGAATGAATTGACGTAAGTTTTCTTCTTTTTATTACTTTTAAAATTTCAGTTATTTATCAATTTCAGCTTTTCTTTTCTCTTTACAGCCCTGACAATGTCAGAATTGTCAACGATAATAAGATTGAGGTACCACATGGGGAAAATCGTAGAAAAAAAAAGCACTCTCATCATTGAAAAGTGTGAAATTATATTTTGAAAATTTTCACTGTGAAATTATCAAATATAATTTTCACACATAAATCAGTATTTCACTGAAACTCATAACTTACATAATTTATAATGATATTTTGTTCCTATTATATCATTATAATTAGATACATTATAATATAACGAATTGGTATTATAACTCGTTTATCGCTTCTGCTAAAAAAACAAGTTTCATCCCATGTGACAATTTCTCCCAGGCGCCTAGGTGCTCGATCTTTGAACTTAGTCAATAAGACCGAGACGTTTTGTTGCTACTTTTTTAAAATATGCTTCTAATCAAATAATTCATTTTTATTAAATTCAAAGTCATATGTTTCTAGCAATGCCAGTCTAATTTAGTTAAGAAAATAGGAGACGCAGACAAAATAAATAAATGAAAATACTATTAGATAATTATTTTTATACAGTTTACAACACACATTATACATGTCTTAGTTTTGACTGAGGTGCGTCTCGTTTATAATATAATTATACTACGGATGTACATGTTTACTTCTTCACAATAAAGTTTTACTTTTCTCATATTTTATGTCACTTTATTTTTCCGTCAGCAGTATGATAAACGGCACCGTTCATCTTCAAAACCTTAAGATACGTTTACCTACAAGCAAAAAGAAATGAATGAAATTACCGAGCAACGTTATAAATATTTAACAGAAAAGTTCGGTGCTCGCCTTAATGTGATGACAAACGTAATTCAGAAATGTCTGGACACGACAGAATTTTGTACGGTTTATCAAACACGTCCTGCTGTTTTGTCACGTTCAAATGGAATTCGTAGCATTTGTGGCGTCAGTTCATTTATTGTAACTGAATATCGTACGAAGAAAGATGGGTTATAATTTGCGTAGCTTACAGTAAATGATTACGAGGTTTAGTCTTACCCGTGACAGTATATACATAATACATGGGTTTGTGGGTAACAGTAAAAATAACAACCCGAGGAAAATACTGTAACCCGAGACGTAGCAAACCCATGTGTTATTTATTTTATTACCCCAAACAAAAATACTGTGATGATCTGAACTAAATCTAACTGTAACAAAAACAAACCAAAAGTAACAATAACTAAACTGCCCTTACCTTTTAAGTTTCAAGTGTACTTTAGGCCGACTTGAGAAGTTTTCTTTTTCTTTTATACTTTAAGCAAGTGATGAAATCTACTAGTCATAAAAATACAATAAGCTGTGTTTTATTTAGAAAACAAAACACTAACCCTTATATACGGTTATGATCTGTGAAATCTGATCCTTCTGTTTCCAGAATATTCGTCGCATGGTTTTTGACAACAGAATGATGATATCCTATGTCTGTCCACAATATCTGTAACGTTTCACTGGTTAAAATTGTTAAATAATCTTTTGTTGCATGCTTAAATCGTCTGCATGCTCAAGTTTGACACATAATTATTTACATTGCAATTACTTCCGTTGAAAACATATGTTTACTTTTTGATTATTCAACAAAAAGTTATCTTATACGCGAAAAGCACACCAGGGTGCAAACAACTAAATGTTATGGGTGTCATAGTTACTCCAAAGATGATGTTTTTGTCCTATCGGGTTTAACGTCGAAAATAAGAATGAATCGAGAATAATATGGCGGCCATTTTATTTCATTTTATTTAGTAAATAGACCACGCGACCAGATTTTATACTGTTAAAAAACTGTTACCCATGTAACAGTACAAAATTCTTAGTCACGCGGTACACTTGCATTAACAGTAAAAATTACTCCCAGAGGCCTATACGAAAAAAGCGAGGGGTAATTATGTGAAATATTTACTTACTAAGCCTGTAAAAAATGTCATGTTTATGTAATTATACAAATCATTGATCAGAAATGTTTACATGCACACAAAAATCCGAAGTATGCGCTTTAATTAAAGATATTCTTTGAAACCTTTTCCACATGTATTATTAAAAACGGCATTAAGGTAGACACTCGGAAAATATGCTGATATCTTAATATTTTAGGATTTATCTAAGCATTCAATATGTTTAAACCAAACTCATGTTTTAAATTTCATGTTTTCAGAATGCTTTCTCAGCCGAACAATCTTTTTTTAAATTACTTTGTCATACAGATTAATATAAAATACAATCCTTTTTCTAAATATTTGTTCCAATTCATATATTCTAACAATCATGATTTTTACAAAATAAGCAATCACTGCTTTGATTAGTGACACATGACGTCATTGTATAAATAGTTTACACTGTCAAATAAATAATGTTATTCTTTTATAAGATAGCTTATCATGTTATTTTACCAGGAAACTGTCTGTTCCTGATTTTTGTTACTAATTAAATAACATATTGTCATACATTGAGTGCAGATGACACTATGCGATGCGTGGAGGTATGTAAAAGCTAGTCAGAACCAAGCCAAAGATATAAGTATGTTAATTTAAACATTAAAGTCACTGACATTTGACATGTAACTGTCATCATTGTGCCTGGCTGATGCATGTGTTTAATTTTTTCCAGTATTAATATTTTTAATGATAAATACCTTAACAAGGTGTTGGAAAACACTGTATAAAATGTGCAAAGTATTATACATATGTTTATCGAAACATTAAGTAAGTCATTTCACTAAATAAAAAAACAAAACATGCAAATACAAGGCAATTTCAAATTTACAATACACATAAGTCAAAAGCATAAACACTTTCCACCTTATAATGTGAAGGTTATCTGAAAACCATGCTTCTGTCATTATGAGATAAATCTAAAATCGGACTCACTCACTCAGCCGCCTTTCTAGTAATCAATTTTGAATAATAAGTTACAAACTGACATTTCAGTACACTTTAATTTGTTTAGGATTAAACAAGTTTGTAAGCCAAGTTTGCACCGCTGATATTCTTTCATTTTTTCTTTCTTAATACAATGATACACGAAGCTGGAAATCTAGATATGAAGTACTTAAAATTTATTTAATGTGATTGTTAAACATACTTTACTTGTTGTGAGTTTTAAACTTACATTATTTTTTGAATTAGTGGGTACTACATCATAGGCATCATATTATTTGAAAAGATATGTTGTAAGGCAAACCTTTATTCATTCATTTGTTATCTTAAGTTTATTTTTACTGCAAGTGTAAATATCGTTTATAAATCCTTACCTCAGAAAAGACGAAGAACTGATATGTAAAAGTTGCATTATGGGATTTTTTTTCAGTGATTGTAATTGGTAAAATTGATTTACACAGCGTATTACTCAAATATATACATATGAACTCTCTGTCTTGGAGTGATATAAACATGACCTTAAGGGTACGTTATTATTTTCCTTTAAATGAATAGGTCTATGTTATAACTTAGTTACAATGTTAAATAACTTACAATGAATGTTAATGTTCACTAAGTTCACCAAGACGTTCCATGATTGGTTCCATTTTTAAAGCAACTCGCGTTAAGTATGCATTTCTATAGCTTTAAAAAAAAACTTTCCCACTTATTTTTAATAATATTATATTTTATGTTCCGTGTATCAGTAAAGTTATCTATGTTTCGTACTAATTTCTATTGATTTGTAATATTAAAGTGTCGGTTTTGAAACAATTAACGAAATCAATTGAATTTGAATGTTCTATTATCATGATAAACGTATTTTAATGACGATTGCTTATTACATGATAGTTAATACTTCAATAGTGAAAATCCCTATTCCAGCGTATTTAAGTTTCAAATTAACTCAAGTCACGGTGTCGTAATGCGTTGCGTGAAAATAGTTCATCAAGTGTATCAATTTCTCAAGGACATGGCTACATTTTTTTTAAAAATATGTCTATAAAAGTATACAAAAATGTGATACGTAGTTTCCTGCATAATCTCTTCATATTTAATGTCTGTTTCATATCTGGATAAAACTGTATCTTACATAGTAACTACATTTCTAAAACTTCTTCATACAGGTAGTTTGCCGTGTTGTCAAAAAATTTTACTTCATGTTTTAAAGTTACAGATTGATTTCTATCCGAACCATTTTTTATTTCATTTTGTAAATATAACATCAGTTTAAGTTACATTATTTTAATATCTAACTGAAAAATAATCACTTCCTTCGTTTTAACCACGATAATGGTTTGCTTGATAATTTATAAAAAGTGCATGAACAGAAAACAATCGTTTAACTATGATTAAGATTTTCAAGTTATATAGTGTTTCACGCAAGATCTCAATTATGTCGTTCGTAGACGAGGTAAAGAACTACCTTTTGGAATGCTAACTTATTCTTGATGCAAGAACATTTAATCGGAAAAAATAAAATACCATAATTATTTAGACTGTAGACAATAATATCTTATTTTGAAATATATTGATAACGCATTAAAATGAAATTTTGAAAAAGCAAAATTAATATGTAACATGTTTTTTTTCAGAATGCAAAACGTTGTTCATAGGATCAGTATGTCTTGCAATGATCCTTGAAGTAATACTCATCTGTTTTATTGCCATATGGTACATTCGAAGACAACGAGCAATTGAAATAAAGTTATGTTTAACTGATGACAGTTTGCACCCTGAACTTCGCGAGCGTTTCTCATTGTCATATGGCAAAGACAAAAAACGAAATGAAAATGTTTTAAAGGACTGGACGCCTTAAAGGCCATCGTTTCAAAGGTGTGATATGCCAACTTTTAAAACGATTTGATATTCCTGTTTTTTAAACGTATATAACGCAATGATAAACGTTTGTCATACGCCATGTTGAACTAGAATAAATTTGCTTATCCCATAACTCAAAGCATAAAAGCATCATTCAGTCAGAGTTAATAGTTCATTTAAGACAATACTGTTTTTTTTCGACGAGGATTATGGCAATAATTCAAAGGTTTAATACAACTCGTACACTGTTTCCCATTTTAAGGACAATCTGAGTTTATATTTATACTTATATTTCACTGAACAAAATATAATATTAAGAAGATATTGAATGAGAATGAAAGTTCAATACTGAATTAATTGCACGAGTTGAAAAAAAATTAACGAGTTCAATAAATTAAGTAATGAGCTTACATGAATTTAATATTCTATTTATCTCATACCCAAAATAAAGACCGTTTAAAGTGACAAAATTGTCATTTTTTATTGACGCGTCTATAGTATAACGCTTACATTTAGCGCGTCTTTACACTATGCTTGTAAAACGCTAATGGCGTCACGTAAAAATATATGCACGGTCGTGCAATACCATTTTTACGGAGTCGCAAAATCGGGTATGTGATAAAGTTTGTTTAAGCATATTATCTGTTTTGAATGTAAAAAACATCCTGATTGCTAATATTTATTGGTAAATTGATGAACCTTAATCTACGTATGGATGAAAAATATATAACATCATGTACAAAAATAACGAATGTGTCATGCATAACTTATCATTCTCTTTTGAGAAAAAAGATAACAAAAATAAAATACCTGAGTGGTTAAGGTCTTTATCTAAACTTAGTAATACATTGATTTCACATTTTCTTCTGTGTATACTTCCTGTTCTAATGTAAATATTTTGATAAATGAAATCTGCCGTAAAGCACATTATACATGCCATTTTATTTGCAAACATAGAGTCTATTTTAAGAATATGAATATCGGTTGTCGGATATAACTAATATTTAGACATAACGACGTTAAGCGATATGTTAATATTGCCAGTTATGCCAATTTATGACCTGATTTTATGGTCAAGTATATACGTTTGCAAACGTAAATAACCATAATCCAGTCTTAATAGTGAACAGTTTCATATAGTGTGATACCTTTATATAAGATTTGAAGATTTGTGCCACAGGTTGAGAAAAATACTTGATTAGTAAGTAATACAGCAAATAAATGTTTATACGGATAAGTCCTTCTAACAAATTCATTGTTATTTACTAGCATTAAAACATTATTTAAAACAAAGAAGAATTTAACATTCTAACACGCTTCGCACTATTCCACTATCAAACAGATAGGGCAACCGAGCGCATTATTACACGATATATACGTAGCTTAAAAATAAATGCCAACACGTCATCTGACGTCAGATATGACGTCAATAAACTAGTAAGATGACATTAAGAAAATTTCTCAAAGTAGTTCAACAGGATTTTCTTAATTTTCATTTTAATTGGCATGGAAATAGATATTTTTTTCTTGCATAATAGTATCATATCTTGCATTATGTAAGTAATAGAAAGACCATCGAAACACTAGGCTATCTGATTTGTACGAGGTGGCTTAGCCTCCGAGTATAAATCAGATTGCCGAGTGTTTTGTGTATATCCAAAATATGGAAGCCGAAAATGTAGATATTAAACGTTCCGTGTGTCGATTGTCTCATTTATTTAATTTGACCATTGTTATATTTTTGTAATGCTAACAATAGTTCAACAAGGTGTCATCATGTTTTTTCTCAATAATTTAATCTTAATTATACATACTTTCCCTTGTGGGGCAATGACATCATTATATTTAAAGGTCGTAGTATGATATCTATGTTTCTTAATACTATAACATTTAATTTAATGATAGTACATAATTCATGTTACTATTTTTTCACAGCTGATGGCATCCCATTATGATACAGACATGAATCCAGGTTCGTCGTTTTTTTTCATTCTTATTCATACATATACATAAGTATGTAATTAAGAAACTGTGCACTCAAAATGGTAGTTATAATTTGTTTCAACTTTAATGTATTTATTACAAAGTGAGTCAGGAAAATACAAAAACAATGCTAGTATGGGCGTTCTTTTATCAGGCAGTCTCGGAATCTCGATCATGAAAATGATATGATTTAAACATGCGTGTTTTTATCACTTTCATTGATTAACTAAGTTAACATTGTTTTAGTAGTACAAATGTTTATGCATTTTTCATCATTAGAGAACTTATAAATATTTAAGGAACGATAAAATGTTATCGATCAAATAGATTGACTGGCAATGCCCTTTATGTTTGTACATTATTACATTATACTATTTTCTGCACATGCGTATTGTGCTCTATATCATAAGATGAAACTGTAGTTTTCTAAAGCATTATATTGTAGTTATATGCTTTATGAATAAATGTTATGACTATTATGAATAGAATAGTAATTGTGATTTTTTTTATTTATTTCGGACCATTACAAGAAGCTTTATTTTGACAGAGAATTCATGTTTGGAACAACATATGAAATAAAGTAATGCATAGTCTACTGAGATTTTAAATCATGTCTTCATTCATTCTGCATTTACAGAACCTGCTGAGTTTGATTTAACAATCTTTAATCTATCTGAATCTACAGAAGAACCTGCCTTAATGCTGCTTAATGATATAAAATCATTTGGACCATCAGGTTTTCTTTTATGTATTAATTATCTCTTAATAATATAAGCTATAATAATGTAACTATAAGTTATCATCAATTTGTTGTTACTGTAATTTTTAAACGATATATTATTTGTATACTGTTATTGATAAACTCCTGATTATAACAATTTCTTGATAGAAAAGAAGGAAAATTCATGTTGCCCATTAATTCTCAGATAAAATGATGAGGGCAATAGATTAATTTTATGTCTACTGTATATGCTGTTTGGTTATCTTAGATAAGGCGCTCTATGTTAACAACACATTCTTATAACGGTTCCGATTTGTTTTACTATAGATCATGAAAATGCATCGCAGATAATGTGGAAAAGTGTCACAAAGCAAGGTGACGGACTTATCAATCTTGCAAAAGAGGGAATGATTGCTATACAGAAATCAGGATACTACTTTGTTACTTCACACCTAACAATCATGAAAGAAAACAATACCAGTTCCGTCAATGATGACGAGACAGGTAAACACCAGGTTATCCGCATTTGTAATAAAACAGATCAACAGTCAATCCTACTACAAAGTACCAGCTATCGATGTAGAATGCATGTCATGCAATGCGAACAGTCTAGTTATGTGGCTGCAGCTTTTAAACTTGAGGAAAGCGATCGGATTTTCGTTACTGTCTCTCGCAAGTTTCAGATTTTATCTGGGAACGAAACTCATTATTTCAGCATTGTTGAGATTTAATGTGTTTGTTTACACATCACACTCTAATCATTTATACATATAAAGCTTTATTTGTGTGTAAGAAGAATATATTAAGTAGACATTTAATGATTAACTAACTCTAAGAATTTATCAGAATCATATAAGTATTCTAAGAGATAATAACACTCGTTTCATAAGAACTTAGACATTTCATTTTAAGAATTAATGTATAATGACAATCGGATTTTCCTAACGAAAATGTTCTTTTACATTTTCAATGTTTTCATTTTGTATTATATCGTTTTGAAGACTACCTTGGAAACCCCAACCTTTATCTATGTAAAATAGAAATGACACCAGAATATTTTTCAGAATATAGTCAAATCATTTACAACCTTTAACGTATTTATCAGTTTTTAATGAGCACCACCAATGCAAATGATTAGATGTGAAGAAGCGTATGTAAAATCAATTGAAATATACAGCACTTGCGTTAAGCACATTTATTTCATATATTTATATATATTTAGATAATGACGGTTGTCATAAAAACAAATCAAGATACTTTAGTAGATGATCCATTTAATTATGACAAAAAAGCCTATTACGTTATTATAATATCATGTATATATATACTATTGTGCAAAAAGTGTTTTTTTTTATCAATGGAGCTTTAAGATAATTCGTATATTTACGTACCTATGCACCTGCAATAAAAACATTAGCGTCAAATATAACACAATCCAAACTTTAAGGTATGTTCCTTGTGTTATGAGACATTGGTAAAATACATATAAAGTGTATAAAATGACAGTATATGTTGTATATTAAGCAAACGTGAAAAAAACTATTTTTAGCACTCTTCATCGTGACCCTCTGAACCCTTCCTCAACCCAAAGGAAGAAATCACGGTTTAATAAATAAAAATTCATTGCCAGCAACGTCTTTCCGGATCACGCCCAAGTACATTGTAGTTAATTTTCTGTCGGGTATGACACATTCATTGAAAATAGAAAAAAATACATTCAAGTATATACATGTAATTATGTTTTACATTAAAGATAGTTTGTCAAGGTAGTCCATTTATAGGTATTATTAATACAAACACAAATTTAAAATATCGATCAGGGTTGTTATGAATTTCATACATTTAAATTATGTTCTTCTTTTATGCAGACAACTAATCGAAAAATGAGCTTCAGTCTCGGTTTAAATGTACGCTATATTTATATCATTTTTTAATTTTCATTGTCTTGAATAAAAAAACAGGAAACACCTATAAAATTGGACGAACATGGTCTTTTTGTTTAAAATCTTATAAAATTGCGGGTGAAATGTATGAAATGAATTATTTAGGAATTCTAAAGTCAAAATGCACAATTCAACAGCAACCTAATTACTGTTATGTGTTAAAACTTTTTAAAACTATTGTCTGTATTCGGAATATATTTTCAATTTGATAAACTTTCATTTTTCTTACCTTGAAATACTATTATTAAGTTAGAATGTCTCACTTTTACATGTATAAAAGTTTGCTGAACAAAAATGTTTTGATACCTGGAACAGTCAGATTATTCTCAACGAATCTAAGCTTTAAAGTCAGCGTTATTTAATTGACTTTTTTGTTTATCTTTGTTTGTGTTGAAATTAGTTAGATCCTTCAGTAACGTATATACGATAAGAAGTTAACGTCGCAACAACAAGGAGGGAGTCATATTGCAACTTTTCAGCTTCAATGTTGAAAGAAGACCTAAAGTTTCGTACCCTGAAATTGTTAACTCACTCTAGTAGAACTACCAACGTTAAGTTAGCCAGCTGGTTTGCTTCTTCAAATAAAGGAATCCAAATTCCTTTCCAGGACTTGATCCCATGTGGTAGGGTGCAATAGAGTTGAAGCCACTTGGCGACAGAGGTTCATTCGAGGAATTATTATTGCTAATTAAAACAACAAAGTTTTTTTCCATATTGTGATTTATTAACACCTAATTCTATCCCAAAATATTTAAAAAAAGATAAATGCTCCGAAACACTTTTATAATTGTCGCAGTCCAAAGGATAAGGAGGTCTGATGGCTGATGTGGGTTTAAATACTTGGGGCCTGGACAGAGGGTATGTAAATACACAAAATTTGCGCTTTCAAATAATTTTATTGAAAATCAAGAATCGCCGCTCCCGCCATTAAAATCTTAAAAAAAGTACAAAATACAAAATATAAATGAAAATGATGAATGTCAAAATGGAAAGTATGAATCAGGGAATCAAAACATATACCAATTTACCTGTAAATACGCAAATTATGCGCTTTCAAATTATTTAATTAGACATCAAGAATCTCGGCTGTTGCCAACAAAATCTTTCAAAACAGTGCGCATGCGTAGTGTATTAAACTAATGAAGTATAAAGTTAGATAGAATGGCCTGTAATGGTGGTTAGTATTTGACTAATATGAGGATGAATGAAACGTAGTGATGAAAATTAAAGATATTGGACTTTTAATAGGACGAATTCACAACAAACACATGACAACTATAGAAGACAAGTAGACAAACATGACAGGCAAACTATAATATACATATACATACATGTATAAATAAGTGAACCTATGACATAAAACGTATTTTAAAAAAATCAGAGAAAAAACAAAAACGTTATCATAATTTATAACCTACTATGTTTTAATGATTATTTCTATTTTGTTAATGATTATTTATGTTTTGATTATTAACCCTGGTCAAATATAATTTGTAATGCATTACGTAGTTCTCAATTTAAAAATAGAAAAAGAAAATTGACGCTAAATGTTAGATACTATTGAAAAAGCTTTAAGTGTTAGCACTGATTTGTTATGACAGTAATTGATAATAATATCCTTAATATATGACCTTGAAAAACCACAAACCACAAACCACAAACAACAATTACGGAATACCGAAACCTGGCAAAATATATGAACAAAAACAACCTCCATTATGTTTTAGATTATGTGTTATATTTACATTATTTGTTAAAAAATTAACAAAAATACCCTGCGCATTTTTAAAATAGTTTTACAATGCAGACGACAATAAAGCACCCGATGATTCTCATAGTTAGTGACGTTTCTATTGAAAATGTGTCCAAATAATTTCGTTTACCCAGAGGTTCAGTGCGTTAAGTAGGGTGCAGGTATAAGCAACATGCACTATAGTTACCGCATTGTTTGTCGTGGATAAAAATGCATGTTGATTGGCTATATTTAAGGGGTTTACTTATTACGACTACAGCTAAAGGAATCAGTTTCAGACGATCATTAAATAGTTCATTCATTCTAGGGTTTCGTAATAAGGGGCCAAGGAAACTATTGTTAAATTTGCTTATGATACACAGAATGAAATCATTAAGAACCTCAAAGTCTTTGCAATATGATTAACCTGAGAACTCATATAAACTTTTTAGTTAATAGTTTGAGCTCATACAATTAAGATAACCACATAAAATCATTTTACACCATTCTTTATCTATAAAGATTTAATCGTAAAACATCCCTTTAAAAATAACTATGACATTTTAACGTAATGATTATCTTCTCACTTTATAAGCTTTAAGGAAGTTAAAACAGTCATTGTAATTCTCAGTAAAATGCTCTTAATTGCTTACTCATTTATGGTAAATTGATCAAACAAAAAATGTATTTTAAGCTAAATAATTTTCTAAAGTGTTTAAATGTGACACAGTAAAAAACTCGTTACATCTGTTTAGATACATTAAAAACATGTCAATTATATGGCAAGAAAAACATGCATTATTTATTTAATCATTCGTTATTTATTTACTTGTATTTATTTACTTTTTAATTATTGAATCAATTTATTTATTTATTCATTTTTTATTTATGAATTTCGTAACATGACAATTTATTTGTACATGATTTAGGTTTGACAGAGTAAAATCTTTTTATTAATTAATACAAAGTTAAAGTCAATTTAGTAAGTTAAACCACGAAGATCAAGATTAGTTTAAGGTCAAAATCAAAGATTGATACACTTTCTTTAAGTCTTGAAACGGTAGTCGTGCTCAAGGTTGAATACAATACATGCATAATAACAAACCTATTGCCAATTTAAGCTAAAAATAATAATTTAATTGTAAAGACGAAGATCAAATTTCAGTTCAGGTGAAATCTAAGTGTATTTTTACCGTGGCTTTAGTTTCCCCATAACATTGAAATGGCAAATTGTAACGGAATTCAATTGCAAAGTGGTCATATAAGAGTCAAAATCCAGTTGAGTTTAACCTACATTAAATATTTTCTAAAATATTGTCAAAGATTTAAATAACAAATGCATAAACAACTTACAACCAGTAACAGTACATTATTTTCTTCAAATTAGACTGATGAACATCATAAACCAGTATCTCCCTTACTATTGTCATTGTGCGGTGACTATCATAACAGAATAGTCTACCTACAATTAAATAAACTTCATTTATATACGTAATTGGACGAATTAAAGGTTATAACAATTTGTTTATTTCGAATGTAAAACACTTCTTTTATATCACAATTTAACCACTGTCATATATTAGTGTACTTTGATACGTTGAATACTGTCCAGTACAACCAATTAATAATATAATTGCTTTTTTGTTGGAAACATGAAACATAAATTTAACCGTAAGTCATTTTTTTTGTTATTTTAATGTGACACAATCAAATTAAATACGGTTGACACATGTCGGACTGCCTTAAAAAAACGTTCAAATGATGTTGGCACATTTATGGTACTTATCTTATTCATTATACTCGTGATTTTATTGTAAAACCAATTTACTAAGCTTATTTTGTCTCTATTCATGGCGCTTACTTGCTGATTTTGGAACAAACTGAAATTTATATCAAAACATAGAAAACTAACATGTTCTTATATATGTACTATCGGTTTGATATGGTTGTATTTTATTTTATTATTATTTCTAAAGTTTGATAAAGACACACACGTTGATTGTCAATAAACATATTTTAAAAATGAGCATTGTATTATTAATAGCATACTTGTTCATTTCAATGAATTTCTTTTTTAATATGTTGATTGAAAGTTCTGAAATGAATAAAGAACTTGCTAAGAAGCGCGTTTTGACCCCACAGGATCAATGTCAATAATGCTTGAAATTGTTTCCTGTCGATTACTATAGATAAAAAATAGATATCTTGCCATCAGAACACTTGTTTTCAGCTGGCAATTTAAAAACGACGAATACAATATATGTAACAGGAAAGGCCATGGCTGAACTGTCCGGCATTTTTTATGTCTGTTCCGGGTCGACCTTTTCAGTTCTGACCAATGGATTGAATATGAGACAATTGCTTTTAATACTATTTTTTTTGTATTTAACTAGATATGAACTGTGTCAATAAATTATTATATTGATGATTATTGGTAATGATTAGTAATATTTGCCCCAAATTTGATTTAATAAATGATATGCTGTGCTAAGTAGAAAAACAAGAGGGCCATGATGGCACTAGATCGCTCACCTGACCCATCAAACTCATCAACACAATTACCTAGACAAGCATTCTGACCATGTTTTATGACAGGTGAGTCAAAAATGTGACCACTAGAGTGTTAACAAGGATTATCCATATTTGAGCAGTGTGACCTAGTTTTTTTACCCCAGGTGACCCATATTCGATCTTGACATAGAAATCATCAAAATAAACTTTCAGACCAATTTCCAGGATATTTAGATGAAAACAGTAGCCACTAGGGTGTGAACAAGATTTTTCTATTTTTAACTCCTGTGTCCTAGTTTTTCATCTGAGATGACCCATGTTCAAACTCATTCGAGCAATTACCTAGACAAGCATCCTGATCAAGATTGGTGATAATTGAGTCAAAAATGTGACCACTAGAGTTTTAACAATGTTAGATAAACATATATGACATTTGATCCAGAAAAATAAGTTATCTCAGCTGCTTTAAGTATATGAAGTAAACATACTTTTGTCCCCCATGTAAAGCGTTTGATCTTAACATTTGTTATAAAAGTAAAACTTCGAAAAATACAAACATTATTTCAAAACATTTTCCATTTTAATAGACCTGTTTTAAATGTACCTTTTGGATCAATGACACTAGAAAAAGCAAAAAAACTATACAACGCCTTCAGTCGTGCTTTCGAGTCACAATACCATGGACATAGGATTAATATGCTCAAAATTAAAACTGATGAAACAGCAGTCATAAATATCATGTTCTCATCTCCACATACATGTAACTTTTATACATTTAACATGTTTAATATATGCTGTTTGAATATTAACATCTGTTAATGCCAGAAATTTAGGTGATAGTTTTCTAACAGTTTATATTGGTAGTGACACCGCACAGCATGAATGCAATCGACAATATAAATGAAATCAAAAAGAATATGTGCACCAAGTTATAAGTGTTCGATATACCAAATGTGAATGACTTGTGGTCTAAATTAAATTCATAGTTAGGTCACACCTCCAGCTACGTAACTCTACAAATAAAGAGTATGTTTTCAGATAATACCGTATGCATGTTTGTTTACATTCTATTCTTCTATATTGCAATAAAAATGCAAAATGTAATAACTGAATAACTTGCACAACCCATTAAATCATAATGGGAAGACCGGATAATGTAAATGTGATCGTGTTCGATTTACAGTTATAGGTTCAATAAACCGAACTGCGAACTATGTATATGTATATGTTCATCCTCGCTGTTTTACAGAAATTTGAAACTTCGACGGGAGCAATAGCGATATTAAGTGCCAAACTTTATTTGGCCTCATTAATATCCACTTTATTACGTCACTACCAGTGCACTTTATTAATCAATTACCTGAATTGTTGGGTTTAGATTTGGCCTCATAAATATGCATGATTTACGTTACTTTGCGCGAGAAGACCCGTGTACCCCTTGTGTTTCAGTTGGCGGCATATGGCTAATGCAAGTTTCTATTTAATTATGTTCGGAAAACATTTTTGATGAGTTTGATAATTGTTTCCTGATATGATTTATAAACTTTGATGAATTGGACAACTGACATGACTGATACTCAGTAGATTCTAGCTAATATTGTATATGATTTATACATGTGCACTAAATGTCATGTGTTAACACGAGGTTACGTAATATATTTTCCAAAAAAACATAATGTCTACTTTCACTTTCTGTCTACCGAAAAAAAAGTGAATAGACACACGTGAGTTTCCTCTTAGTTACAAATTAATTAAGACCTTTTTCTACATTCGTAATAAAAATATTAATTGACATTTTGTATTTGCAGTATCAGTGGATTTAAAACTGAACTGCATGTACGGTATATCCTTTATAAATTAATGGAAAATTAATGTAGGTTGACCTTTTGATGTCATTCTTACTTAATTAATATTCAAAAGCGGCCAACGAAAGCGCATGTGCAAATTTATGCAAATGACTATTTTTACAAACGCGATTCTATGAAGCACTATGACAAATAGAAGGCGACTATGAACAGAATTTGATATAGTATCGACTTTTTGAAAATGAAAATTGACACTCAATATTTTGAAGAAAAACAGCGTTTCCATTGGATGACAAATAAAGTGGGACAATAAACATGATAAATACATGGTTACGTCACACCTCTAACTACGTAACTCTATATATAAAGGAACACGAAACTGTACGCTCGTTTTACATTTATTTGCTATTTACGAGAAAATAGAAACAGCCTTGTCATTTAAGCGTTTTCAGCTTTAATTGTAATAAATAGCATTTGTAACTCTCGGTAAACAATAAAGCATTTGTATTTTGATTGTTTACGTATTTTGGTGGAAACGAACAAATGAATGATGCTTTTAAAGGTAAGAAATTAATTAATTAATTGGTTAATATATCTTTCACTAGTCACATCTTTTTTTGCATTTGTTTTTTATAAAGGGAATATATGTTTTGGCTTGATTGCAAAAACGAATTGGAATGTTTAATGATAATTTGTATTTAAACATGTTATAATTACTCCTCGTATTTAAATGCTACATTATATAACCAAAAACATTCAACTTGAAGGTAAATTCGATGATAAAACATCAATGCATTCATATTTTGAAGTGTAAATCAAAAGTACTGAAATGGTAAATAAAAACATGATTCACAAATAAGGGAAGACAATTGTTTAACGTTTTAACAAGTCAAGTCAAGTCAAATATTTTATTGGCAAAAACAAATACATGTTCATCGCCAAATAACCGCCAAAGATAAAACATAGTTGTTAACTTTAATCATAAAAGTTCAAGTGGTATTAAAACTGATATTAAATAATAGATAATTAACTAAATAAAAAAAGAAAAGAATGCGGTTTATTTGCATAGTCTAAGGACAATATTAACAGGGTCCTGGAATGAGCCAAGTAGTTTTTGAGCACAATTTATTTTAGTCGAGACCATGAGATGCTTAACTGTTCACAATAATATTGTGTTTGCACAGAAAACGTAATAAATATACTGTATAAGGTGAGAGAAAATATGTTTAATCTGGCGAACAAATATCTGTGTAATGTTTACAGGGTAATTGAGTAAATATCACGTATTATAGGGTATTCATTTCATCTATCATTTGACGATGAAATATACTTTACAAGGGCGTAGTCGTCCGGAAATATTTATATTATATAATACATGACATAGATACAGGTTTAAATTTGTTTTGCCTTATCTCTTGTTCGAAAATATCTAAATGGGGGGCGCAGTACACTAACCTATATTCTATTTGTTATTTATACAATATATCTGATTGGCTATTTGCCATTTATTATCAACGTTTTAATATAAAGTCAATGAAATAGTAAAACTATTTAAGAAATAGGATATCGATCATAATGCAACAATAGGAACTTATTTTTAAATCGTAGAATGTTAGTCATTATGAACGCTTAAGTGTACATACGTTATGAATGACCGTGATATTATTGGTTGATAAATAATCACACGAATATGACATCAAATAACAAGACCTTGGCATAAATTCATATATGTGTTTGTTTTAATAACTTATTACTAGGTGGTAATTATCAAACAGATATGTCTGATAAAACAATTGTGACTAGTATGTGATTTTTTAACCTTTATTCAAGTAACAAGTTTGAGATAAACAAAAGTAAAAGGAACAATATACACCATCTGAGGTCAAAATGCTGATGATGAACTTTGTAATCGCCATTTAAATGCTGTATCTTGTCATGTTGTTGTCCATCAATAACTGTCATTTCACACAATTGCTGTAAACTTATAGAGTAAATTATATATCTTTAATATTAAGTCGGCCTCAAAAATCGTTTTTTATTCTGCTGTGTTGCACTATAATTGGCAAAGACGTTTGTTATATAACTGTTTTTAAATTAATACATAGCAGGTCTCGATACTAGCCTCTTTATGCAGCTTGTAATTAATTCGAACACATTTGATATTAAGGTGGTCCTGCAGAACGACAGGCCGTCCTTCATTGAAGGTATCTTTTTACTAAAAGTTCTTTTAAAGATAAACCGTTAGAGAAACATAACATAATTATACTTGGTGACACTGATGTATTATAAACAACTTGAAAACAACAACAACAAAACACACACATATACACAACATTACAGTAACAGATATTTCCTGTATATTTATTAAGTATTCTATTCAATTAGAAACACAACAGCGCCCATTTAAACTGTGTGACTTTTGATGAGATTAATTCTTCCGAGGAATCACTTTGTTTCCAGATGTTTATACTTCACAACAGTAGGTGTCAAGTGCCGTGTGGCAGCTGTAAAAAGTTGGCCGTACTTCACTTCAGTGTTGTTATATTTTTCCGGGATAATTGATGCCAGCAGTATTAAGTGTTGAAAATTGAGCACCGCTCAAGCCGGTACTAGGGGTCGTGAGGGATGTTGCACTTATTCATTATTCCTCATGTACATACTCAATCAAACTGAGTCTGCAATTTTCATGTAATTTTGTTGTGATAAATACTTCCGAGGGATCACATTGTTTCCAGAATTTGTTTCACCCTTATTCAAATATTCATTGACATAGTTACACCTTTTATAATAAATGCAATATCTTCTATTCACTAACATCTTTCAACAAAATCCTGAAATTCTTTGAAAAGAAGAGAATATTGAGTAAAAGATAAACATCATAATATGTTCATTGGAGTTTGAGCTCATTTATTTTTCTATCTACAAAATATTACTTGCCTGTTGCTCATTTGTTGGTATCCATTTTTGACATATATGATATTTTACATTCTTTTTAACTGTGGTATTTGTGTGGATATATGACTTTTTGTATTAAGGTACATACATTTTACTTTTAAAAGCATTTCATCAATAAACATCTTATTAAAGTCTGTCCAGACAATTTTGAAAGTATCTGTTCACAGTGCGACTTTTCAAATATTCACACACTGTTTGCAACCTTTGAAAATTACATTACGTGTAAATTTAGAAATTAATTTTTGTTTTCTGATTTTAGGTCGCAAAAAGGATATTTAAGTTGCTGGTTGCATCTGCACTTGTCCTCGAAGTAATACTTGTGACTCTTGTCATAACATGGTGTGCTCTTAGACAACGGCCAATTAAATCTAGGTTATGTTTCAATGATGCGATTCTTAAATCTGCGGGTTTGAACTCTGAAATACCTCAAAATCTGGCATTGGCATATGGCAAAGACACGACACAGAATGGACATTGCTTTGAACCTGTTAAGGTGTTAAACGCCTTTGTTCGACAGGTAGGTGAAGATATGCTTTCATGTTTGATTTTAAAAATATTCTTTCTTTCAGGTAAAATGCCATTGCTACAGATTAAAGGATAGATTCTATATTACTTACATGTAACTGTTTTCTTAATTTCATATAGTGTCTACTGGCGGTCTAAATTCCTATAATTTTATGATATTTAACAACACGAATCGATACTTTTTTTTATTTTTACTTACCAAAAATCAATATGTGTATATTACTATTAATATTTTATAATCAATATAGAACAAATTAAACAATAATTGCAACAAAAAGAAAACAAAACACACAAAACGCATATAACAACGCATGCACGCATACGCATACAGTAACCCAATGTCAAGTCTTGTTAAAAACGCAAAGAACGTATTGTTCTTAAATAAGTCATTAAAACTTCAAATCCAATTTTTGACTTGTCTTATTGATTTATGACAAATAACCAAAAACATTTGAAAACAAATCTATAACCGTCTGCATTCTCCCTATGTGCAAACTTATTTTTCATTCATTAACAGCAGATGACATTCCGTTACAATACTAAAATAAATCCAGGTAAGTCAGATTATCATGATTATATTATTGAAACAATTTTATACCTTACAATAAGATGCAAAATATTATGTAAGTTATAACATATATACTTTAAAACTTAGAAAAGGCAATTATCAACTTGTATATTTCCGAACGAGTAAAAGTCCATCTTGTAAATATGTTCTAGATAAGGAAGTACAAAAAAAAACTTTTATTAATATTATGTATATGTTCCATTGTTGCTACACTTAAACTACTTTTATTAGTGGATGCATACTATTTATTTCTACCTTGAATATAATATTACGTTACATCATATTTTTACAAAAAAATTCTATTTGGTTATTCCAATAGCTTGACTCGAAAGTGCTTGAATGTTGTTTATAGACAATACACAATTTATGAGACGTAGATCAAACAATGTCATCAGTAGCTCTACATTTAGTTTGAAATGGAATGAGAGTTGTTTGATTCTAACTTCATATATATTTATCATCAATTTCAGAACCTATTGCATTTGATTTGACCACGTTAAATTGCACAATATCTTCAGCAAAACCTGGTATTTTAATACTCAAGGATATTAAATTGGTCCACGTACCAGGTATGTCAGGTTTGTGCTTAATAGTGAGTAATGTTGTATGAATTTAAAATGATATATTCAAGTTTTAAATAGTGCAAAGTCCGTGTTGACCAAAAGTATGACAAAAAATAGAAATATATCAACTGACACGATCTCTTGATAAGAGAAAGTAGTTTCATTGTACATTACTTGGTATACTGTTTATACAAATAATGGGAAAACAACATAAAATAAAAAGAAAAAAAATGCTATTTAACATTTTTTTATAATTGACATCTCTCATTTCAGTTAGGCATGTAAATTAAACAATTTAATGTGTTAAAATAGAATAGTTTTTTTTAATAATGAATGCAATGTATTGTGTTTTTTATTAATAGATTTGTCACTTAACAAATCTCTTATTCTAACAAGATGAATCAAATCACTTGCATGCAATATTTAGTTTTTTTGTTGCTTTAGAACTCGGAACAGTATCGAACATATTTTGGAAAACTATCTCGAATCACGGTGAGGGACTTTTTTATCTAGAAAACGAGGGAATGGTTGCTATACAGAAAACAGGATACTACTTTGTCACTTTACATCTGACAATCATGAGAGAAAATAAAACCATTTTAGCCAATGATGACAAGATAGGTAAACACCAAGTTATCCGCATTGCTAATAAAACGGATCAACGGTCTATTCTACTAGGAAGTACCAGCTCTCGATGTCAAATGCCTGCCAAGCGATGCGAACAGTCTATCTTTATGGCTGCAGCCTTTAACCTCGAGGAAAACGATACGGTTTTCGTCACTGTCTCTCATACATTTCAGATGTTATCTGTCAACGGAATGAATTATTTCAGCATTATTGAAATATAATATTTCCTTACACAAACGTTACATATCACAAGCTAACAATACAAAAAAACATTATCTGTGTGTATGACGACTCTAAGTGAACATGAAATTAAGAAACTGATTTTTAAACATTGTTACAAATGATGCTTAAAATACGCGTGTTAAAGAAATGGCTGAATAATTTTATATTAAGTTAGTATTTCAACGATAAGGCATGTGTCTTTCTATAAGTCAAATGTAAATTTTCATCGGCTGAAATGTTCAGTGTTTTATTTATTACCTTAAGTAGTTCACCCCTGAAGCATCCCCATACTCTCTTTGTTAATAAGTAATCTGCCAACACAAGAGTAAATTTCATTCAATTGTCCTATCAAGTACCGTAATGCAAATATACAGTGTGCTTCATCATTTCAATGATTGAGTAAGTATTTCATTTCTAAAGCACGAATAATAACACATTAATTAAGTATTTTAAGTGATGATACTCTGTTTGTCTCACTATAAAATGACAAAGGAAAGAATAATATAAGACGTTTAATTGTAATTGATATTTCTCAGATTTTGTATTCAAAGTCGGCAAACAATGATATACTAATTAAGCGTTAATATTACTCGAATGTATAAATATAACTTCATCCAAAACGAAATACTGACATTAATGAAACTAATACATGTATATATTTGTGCTACACATAACATTGTCTCAAGATGATTGTTCAAACATATGTTTTATCTTTAAAGACGATGCCTGTCTCATTTATGTCTTATTTAATGTTGAAATATGTTACATGTAAGAAAGCAAGAAGCCATTTATTGATATACAGCTAATTGAGAATATATGTACACTTTAACAGATAGACAAACCAATTGTAAATGTGGGTGACTAGTATCCTATACAAGTACCAGCTTCATATTTACGAGCAAACGTCCTTGAATGAATTATATTACTATTTTCCATTTTGCTTACTGCTTTATAAAATGAAACTGAGTACAAATCTATATGAAGATTTAAATTATTTTTTCAACCATAACATTATTAATTATTGACAAATGGCTTTTCATGTGTTTATTATTGAAATGGTTAATATTTAGTAAATGATTGTTTTCCAAGTAATTGCAATTGTAAACAACTTGAAAAATAAATAAAAATAGGAGGCAAATAGAACAGTGTGTACCGATATCAAACTGTTATTCTTAGATTCCGATGTAATTTTGAAAATACTTTCAATATCAATGATGAACAGAAAACATCAAACAAAACAAAATCATCAAAATTAAAAAAAATATATTTATAATGATTGAACAAGATTAATTCATTTTGTTTGCTTCCAAAATTAATCAAATTAGTTTTATTAGTTTATAACTTAAGATAAAAAAGGAATTTCATGCATTACAAATAATGTTGTGACTTTATAGAAACTGATCAAATAAAATTGCCTTTAGTCATTAAAGTCAACATTTTGTCTTTTCTACTTTTCTCATTTTCTCTTACATGCAAAATCGTCATAGTCATTGTTAGAAAAATGTCTAACAGATATATAGCATACTTTAAAGTTAGTATGAAGCAATTATATCCTTGATTATTCATTTTCATTAAAGTTACCTATATGAACAATGTAACACTCATAAAACAAATTGATAGATAATGCTCTTATAATTTGGTTTAACAAATGAAACATATCATTAAAGAATTAAAAGTGAACAAAAATATGGTGTAACGTTTGTTTGATAAGGTTTTACGTCACATCGACACAGTATTGGTCATATCGCGACGTTCCAGCTTATACTGGTGGAGGAAGACCTCAGGTGCCATTCCGTGCATTATTTCAGGCACGAACGGGCACCTGAGTAGAACCACCGACGTTCCGTAAGCTAGCTGGATAGCTTTCACACATGAAAGAATCCAAAGTCCCCGTCGGGATTCGAACCCACAGCGGTGAAGGAGCAAGTGATTAAAGTCAACGACCTTAACCACTCGGCCACGGACGCCCCATGGTGTGAAATGATAATTATACATTTATTTGAATTTATTTATTATTTACAGTGAATTACATATTGAAGGATCTATTTCTTTTTTATACGCTATTTGTATTGTTATTGATTGTTAATGTGTTTATAATGTTTTGTTGTATTTCACACCAATTAGTAGATATCATATGTCGGCTTTTCAGCTTTACTGCTGAGGCAAGACCGTGCATTATCTTTTACCATCACAATTTCCACTGAAAATTAAATTTGATATTATACGAAGCATATTTTGATTCTTTATTGCTACAATCATCAATAACTACTTAGGAATAAGCATACAACCGGAATACAACCGGGTGTGTTAAGATTTAATTTCCTTAAATCAGTATTTATGATTTCAATGATTTTTTTTTATTTTGCTTATTACCCGTGGTTAAAAATAATTAGTAAAAGTTTACAGTTTAGACAATTGATACTATCAACAGAGATCAAAACATTATTTTGAAATATATTAAGTTTTACTAAATAAGCACTCAACTATTATTACTGTAATTAACACAATGAATAGACAACCAAGATCGGAATACCGAATTTTGGCAGATAATAAAAAACAAAGTCGGTCTCCATTATAGAACAAACAATCCCCGTTTTTGAACTGGTTTTAAAATGCAGACGACAAAGCATTTACGCGCCCAATGATTATCATACCTCGGGAGACATATAATTTGAAAAATGTGTCAAAGTTAATTCGTATACCCATAAAGGTTCAGTGCGTTTAACAGGAGTTCGGGTATTAGTTACCTGCACGGCATTTACCGCGCTGTTTGTTATTATAATAGATAAAACTAGTGCATGTAAATTGATTGATTCGTGCTCGGGGATTTACTTATTACGACGACAGGGAATGGGATAATAAAAGAAAATAAGTCATATTCACAGCTTACATATTGTGGGGACAGGGAAAGCATATTTATTTTTGTTTATGATGCAAAAGAGAAAGAGCATGAAAAAGTCAAAATCTACGCAATATATTTTATTGAATTATTTATCTTCAGGGACCCTCCCCCTCGTACGAATCAAATAGACTCGTGATTCGTAATTAGAATCATTTGTTAGTCAGGTGACTACCGATGGTGCACTACGCATCGTGTGAGACAAACGAGCACAATTTCAAAAATACATTTCAAATTAAGATGTACAGATACTTAAGAAAATGTATTTAATGAAATAGTAACTGTTATCGAATGAAGATCCATACATCTATCGTCAAGTGTTGATATTGGCATTATACGACAACATCAATATAACATCTTTAAAAACAACAAAATGTTAAACAGTTGTACAAAGAAGATCAAGATACGTTTAAGGTCAAAAACAAATATTGATGAACTTCTTTTAAGTTTTGAAACGGTAGTCGTGCCCAGGTTGAATACAATACAATCATAATAACAAACATATTGCCAAATTAAGCTAAAAGCAATCATTTAATTGTGGATATGAAGATCATATTTCAGATCAGGTGACATTTGATCCATACGCTTAGTGAACTTTCACAGTGTGAATTTAATTCCCCATAAAAATAGAATTGCAAAATGAAACGTTTTTCAAATGCATAGAGGTCATTTAAGGGTCAAGGGCAAGTTGAGGATAACGTACATAAAGTATTTTATAAAATTCTTTTCAAGTATTAAAACCAATAAGAGCAAATTTCATCACATTTAATGAAATAATCTTAAAAATCAAGGTCATTTGTTAATAAAGGCCATTTAAGTCCCCTAAATTCCAATTACTTCTGACATTTGTTTTATTTAGACTAAAGAAGCTGCTTTGGAGTAGAAGCGCACGCAGACTGCTTGACTGACAAACTTCCTAAACAAGAATCTTCCTGACTATTGTTATTGTAGGAGACTATCATACTAGTAACAGAAATAGAATTATCAATGGTTTGACTACACTTAAACAAACTTTATTATTCTCTGTTGGACAGATTTTAGGTCTAACAGAATATGTTTATTTTGCAATGTTCGATATATTACCTGCGTATATTTCCTTGAATAACACTAACGTAAAATGACAGATTGATACCATTGCTCTTTTGTTGAAAACATAGTTGATTAAAAAATTATTTAACCGTAAGTCATTTTAATTTGAAACAATCGATTTCAGTACGGTTGTGTTGAAATGCATTTAAGAAATGGTTCAAATGATTTTGACAAATATATTTAACATATTTTATTCATTATATTAAAATATTATCACCAATTTACTTAGCATATGTTTGCTCTGTTTATGGCGATTAATTGCGTATTTTGGAACAAAATAACTTTTTGTAAAACAAATAACATTCAACAGTTGTTAAATAATTATTATATATTACTGGTTTTATTTTGGTTGTATTCTATTTTTTATTATTTCTAAAGATTAATTAAAACACAAGCATTGATTGTCAATGTACATATTTTGAAAATACGCAATGCATTATTAATGGCATAATTATAGTCCATTCTACAGAATTTGACTTTGCTGTGATGGTTGCAAGTTCTAAAATGAATTATGACATTGTTAAAAATCGTGTTTTGACCCCACATGGTGAAGGTGACTGTTGCTTGAAATTGTTTCCCATCGATAATTATTAGACAGTTGCAATTTAACCTATAGCAATCTAATCTCGACACGTCGCTTAGGATTGTTTGACCTTCTTTGATAAATTCCAATATTACTTCTGAGAGTAAATTTAAAAGAAATTTCCAAAGGATGCTACAAGCATAAAACTCCAGTGAAATTGTTCAAATAGTTCTGCTCCATTGAACATCTGGGTTAGATGGGCTATAAATAGATCTTTGAAATTAAATCTTTAAAAATCTTCTTCTCTCTACGCGCAAGGTCTAGAGCTTAGATATGTTGTGTGTAGCATCATCAAATAAAATTCGACGAAAATCATTCAAATAATACCCCTTTTGTCAAATATGGCCCGCCAAAGGGGAGGGGGCATGGCTTTTTCGTCTATAAATAACACTTAAAAAAATATTCTCTGAACTAAAAGATCATTATCT